AAAGGGATCCTTTGGGCAGGCCTTATTAAGGTCGGTGTAATCGACACACATTCTCCAAGCGGGCGGTTTGGGCACGAGTACCACGTTGGCTAGCCAATCAGGATATTTTACCTCACGAATATGGCCAGCGACCAACAATGTGTCGACTTCCCCTTTTACGAACTCACGCTGGTCGTTAGCCAAGTATCTTTTCTTTTGAATTACGGGTTGGTGGCCGGGATCCACCGCGAGTGCCCACAAATAGCTGCCAGGCCCACGTCTTTTGAGTGTTAGACGAGTCGCCCCCTTCTAGGCCACCAACGATCATGTTAATGACCCGTTTTTGCTTCCACTGCACCTCGTCTTCTGCGGAGGCTGGTCGCTTGCCACGATCCAGGTCGGTTGACCCAGAGGGGTCGTCGTTTACCAGAGTTTGGGAGGATGTTTTCCTCCGCCACTGTTGAGAGGCGGAGTCCCTTGCTGGATGATCCCCTCCATGATTTTCTTCAAGTAATAGCACTCCTCGGTGTTGTGGGTGTACGACTTATGATACCGACAATACTTAGTCGATTTTTCGGGGTCTGTTCCCTCCGGGCAATCACTCGATGGAGACGGCGGCGTCGGTGCGTCGGCCTTAATTTCATGCACCAGACACTAGGGTGGCGATCGATAGGAAGGCGCAGCGATTCTGTCGTAAGAACGTCTTCCCTCTTGGTGACCCGGCCGATCACTCGGATGCCTTTCTCTCACCTCACCATTCGATCGCTTCCCTCCAGAAACTCCGCCGACCTCTCGCTATCGTTTGTACTTAATTGCCTGCTCTGTGTTAGCCCGCTTATTGGCCATATGGATGGCCTCCGCATATGTGGCTGGCCGATTGTCCCGCAGGTCGCGGTACAGCTACCCGGATCGTAGCGACTCGATGAAAAATGTGAGCACGGTTTGATCCTCGACCCCCCCTATGGCATGGATTTCCTTTTGCCATCGGGCCAAATAATTTTAAGCGGTTCCCCCTCGTCTTGGTAGATGTCACCGAGGTGCGTGAGGTCTTTCGGGGCTTGATATTTGCGGCGTATTGGCTCATGAAATGGTCTGCTAGACCCTCAAAACTGCGGATCGATCCTGATGGCAAGGCAATGAACCACCTCTGCGCGGGCCCTTTCAGGGTCGGCAAAAAGGCGCGACACATGACCGGGTCTCTAACGCCCAACACCTACATCTTCGCCTGGTAACTCAAGAGATATTCGTGTGGGTCTCCCGTCCCATCGAAGGTAGCCTGCTCCGGGAACTTGAAGTTACCGGGTATTTTGAACAACATTATCTCTGCTGAGAACGGCAAGGCGGTGAGCAGAGCTCTACCGGGCTTTTAAACTCTGCCTTCCATCTAGTCTTTCAAGTTGCGTATCTCTTGGGCTAAGTAAGCCATCTTGTCTGGGTTTTCGGTACGATTCCCGGTGGACTCAGTGCTCTCCCCCACCTAGGACTCGTCCTGTGGGTTTTCCTCTGTGGCGTGCCTTCCAGCTTGCTAACCCCGAGTTCTGGTTCTTCTGGAACGGGTTTCCCTTTCTCGGGCGATCCCTTGATTCTGTCAACCTGACCGCACTTGGCTGGGTGCTCCTCTACCCAACTATTCTTTTGCCGAACGGCGAGCGACGTTTGGGCCTAGCCTCGAATGCAGAGATCAGGCTGGCGGGTCATCCGCCCTCCAATTCTCTTGCCTATCACCATCAGAATTCTGGGGCGGATGTTGGTTCTATGGCTACGGGTTCGGCGATCGGGAGATCGATGGTTCCCTTGGTTCTCAAGTCTGCGTAGCCACGGCTCGAGCGATGGCGTCAATCTGTGCGGGAGTAAGAGGCATTAACGGCGGAAGCTGATTCCGAGGTGCCGAATCACCTCCCTGACTCTGCGAGTTTTGTTGGTTCAACTGATTTCGTAAGTCTGCCCTTGGTGCGCTGTTATAATCCGAGGCGTGACTTCGATCCTCAGCCATTGCTTCTAGCCTTTACCCCTGGCGGCTTGGCTTTCTGCTTTATCCCTCGACTCTTCTCTCGATCACGGAAGCAAACGTAACTTTTTGTCGTGTCCCCATAGACGACGCCAATGTTGGTTTTAGGGTTTTTGGGCCTAGGGAGGTCCAACACAACCGTGGTTGGTGGATTCACCTTTCAAAGTAAAGCTAAGTGGTCCACAAAGGGACTGAGTAAAATTGCTAAAGTGTTTCTGACTTTTCTGTGATTCTTCCACCTCCAAAAACTTGCCCTTACAGTTTGATTGGGAACCCTTTTTATAGTGGGCTATCCCTTTATTTAAATGCGTTCATAAAGGCCCATAAATAGGCTCATTAACTACTTTGGGGCCGTTGGGCTATCGTTACTGGGCTTCCCAACTGCTCGTTTGACCAAGATTTAAAGAGGCATCTTCAATGCTAACGGCTACCCTTCCGGTCGACCCCCAACTCGCGCCGACTGGAGGCTCGTGCCGACCTGAGACTCGCGCCGACTCCTTTGCCATGTTTGCGCCCGTCTTTTAGGCTTTCCCTCTCTTGGGCCTATCTTTCTTTCCTTCCTTCTCTTCTTGGGTCGTGGGCCCTTGTGGGTCTATATCCCATCAAATATAATTGTCGATTATATTTCTTGTGAAATATTAATATATTCATTTCCTTTTTCCTTAATAAATAATTATAATAATATAATTGCCGATTATATTTTCAGTGAAATGTTAAGCACCTTGTGCTTAGATGGCATGTAGTGACCTTTCTCATATGGGATGTCATGAGATCGAGCCTTAGTGGAGACGTTGTTGGTTCTTTGTGCTTTAATAGGTTGAGAAAGTATGTTTGAACACATACTACAATAGAAAAAAGAATTAGAATCTGAGCCGAGCCGTGTGTAATATTCATTTCCATTCTTTCTCATAAATATGCGTAGGGAAAACTGCATCCTATATTCATTGCTTGTTTTGCTTCTTTCTCATAAATATGCGTAGGGAAAACTGCATCCTATATTCATTTCCATTCATTGCTTGTTTTGCTTCTTTCTCATAAATATGCGTAGGGAAAACTGCATCCTAGAATTTTCTCACAACTGTGTTAGAATAGAACTGCAAAACTGCATCCTATATTCATTTCCATTCATTGCTTGTTTTGCTCCTTTCTCATAAATATGCGTAGGGAAAACTGCATCCTAGAATTTTCTCACAACTGTGTAGAATAGAACTGCAAAACTGCATCCTATATTCATTTCCATTCATTGCTTGTTTTGCTTCTTTCTCATAAATATGCGTAGGGAAAACTGCATCCTAGAATTTTCTCACAACTGTGTTAGAATAGAACTGCAACATATACCTGTAAGTGGTTGTTTTGTGTCTATACAAATTAGTAATAACCACAAAAAAAAAAAATAATAATAATAATAATAATAATCCTGTAAACATGCCCTTCTTTAAATCTCTTCGAATACTTTTGAACATAATTTTTAGGAATATGTGCATGAAGAAAAGTTCCCTGAAATTGAAGTGTAAAAAAATGTAATAAAAACCATATGCATAAACAAAACCTTTTGAAATGAAAAAATATTCACGCGATAGTACAAATACAATACCTCTTCATCGTGGAATATGAACTCTATAGACTTGATTGTTTAAGCACCTATCTTTGGAATCTCATAGGTATGCACCACTCTAACCTTGAATGCATTCCTTTCGTTTCTTGGAGAAATTTCACGATTAAAGTTGAAGCCATGCCTCTAGAGACGCAGAATTTTGTTGGAAGTTTACAACTATATGTAAATATAATAAAGTGTATAAATAGGAAAAAGAATTCATATTTACACAAATAAATTAAGAAATTCATCTTTACGCAAATCAATTAGAAAGGGAATCTTCTATCTTTACGCAAACAAATGAGATTCTAGCTTTATTTACTTTATTAATAAATTAATAAATTATTAATACCCCATTTGTTTCTATTATTTACACACAATCTTCGTTATAAATTTTTTATATCACTGATTCTTTTTCATTTTCCCTTTTTAAGTATTAAATTAATAATATTTTAATTATTAAGCCATGTATAACATTTTGACTTTAATTTGTTGTGCCAATTCATTAGATATTAGTTAATTTTCATATATAATTTTGATACCAATTAAGCTTTATTAATATTTATATTAGAGTAAAAGACATTTTTGGTCCTAGAATTATATATAATGGCACAGACAAGTTTAGCCCTCTTTAAAAAAAATTAGAAATTTGTGGACACTCTTATTGTGACAAGGACAATTTTGGTCCTCCGTCAATATTCCCGTTAGATTCCCCGTTTGGGAGGGGCTAATTGCGTCTTTTCAACATTATTCTCTCTTTGCTTTCTTTAAGCTCACGCCTTCTTCACGAGCACTCTTTTTTTCTCGAATCCACAGAAACTAGAGAAAATAATAATAGTAACCAAATGATTAAGTAACCCCCCAATCTGAAATTGATGCAAAAACCCAGAAATTGAAAAGCTTGGGAACTCACATGAAATGATCTGGCTTTGTTGAGCAGAAATCCACAGTAAATTTCTCAACTTTCTGAAATCACAGAGTAGAATGAAGAGGGAACACGATCGACCCAAGGTGGAGAGGTCGTTAATGGGTAAAGGCAAGATTTGGGAAGAACATCCGCCGGATGCCGGAATGGATGAGCTACTGGCGGTGTTGGGCTACAAGGTAAAGACTTCGAATATGGTGGACGTGGCTCAAAAGCTTGAGCAGCTGGAGATGGCCATGGAAGATGGTAGTAAATATTATCAGCTTTTCCAGCAATAAGCACAACAGAAATGGTAGTAGGAGGATTTGTGATGATATTTGAGGGCGGTTCCAAGCGGCGCTATTTTCGGTAATAGCACTAAGGGGAAAGAATCATCGTCTTCGGAGTCTTATAAAATACAGAAATCCTCAGCCGGATATGATTTTAGCGGTGGAGAATCGCTGGCAGAGATTGGAGGCGGAGCAGTGGCTATAGAGACTCCTCGATCGGTGATGATGGTCGATTATCAAGAAGCCGGTGTTAGGCTTGTCCATGCGCTGATGGCTTGCGCCGAGGCCGTCCAGCAGGAAAACTTCAAGCTAGCCGATGCCCTAGTCAAACACATCAGAATCCTCGCCGTGTCCCAAGCCGGCAGGATGAGAAAAGTGGCGAACTACTTCGCCGAAGCCTTGGCTCGTCGGATTTACAAAATCTACCCTCAAGACACCCTGGAATCCTCCTACACCGACGTCCTCCAGATGCACTTTTACGAGACATGCCCCTACTTGAAATTCGCGCACTTCACGGCTAACCAAGCCATTCTCAAGGCATTCACGGATTGTAGCCGAGTCCACGTCATCGACTTATGCTTGAAGCAAGGGATGCAGTGGCCGGTGCTTATGCAAGCTTTGGCTCTCAGACCCAGCGGCTCAACGGGATAGGCCCTCTCCAGCCGGGTATGAGTTCTCTGTGTATTGAGAGCACTTACTGAAGAGAGTAATGTTGAAAAGACACAATTACCCCCTCTCAGACAGGGCATCTAAACGGGAATATTGACGGAGGACCAAAATTGTTCTCGTCAGAATAAGAGTGTCCACAAATTGTCTGATTTTTTTAAGGAGGACTAAAATTGTCCGCGCCACTATAAGTCTAGGACAAAAAATGTCTTTTATTCTTTATGTTATTATTAGTTTGGGCAAAAAAGTTAATGAGTTTATTAATAGTATAAATTGACAAGTCTTTAAAATTATAAGACATCTACCGATATTTTAAGTACATCAATTCTTCTTATGTAGAATACGTTGTACTATTTAGGACCGTCCCCATCCTACATCTATGGTCATTTAATAATTTTTTTCTCATGACTTGAACTCCAACTTCATCGTCCATTTATTTCTGCTTGGCTTTAATTTAATGACCACCTCAAAGTGTGTCACTACCATAACGTCATGTGTATTAACACCCAACACCAACTCTCTTTGCTCGACTTTAAATGGCCACCAAAGAGTGTGTCACTACCACAATGCCTTGTGTATGAGCTCCAAAAAGCTTGAGCTCATACACACTCACGAGTCACGACTCGAGCAACGATTGTAACTTCAAATGCTATTTCAGATTAAAGTCGGGGTTATGATTTTAAAATAAAAAATTAGTGTTAATTACTTCCAACTCGATCTCTTATGTGTGTGTGTGTGTGTTGGGCAGAAAATTGTTTATACTATGAAAATTTTCTTTTTTTTCTCTACGAGCCAAAAAATTTTCTAAAAAATTATACCAATACTTCCGGTAAAACTCTAAATATTCTACTTTTAATTTGTTCTAATTCGATGAATAGTATATTTGAGTGCGCAAATATACTATTGTAATCCATTATTGTATTTTGGGAAACTGACGCTTCAATTCAACACTTCTAACGCACTCAAGAAAGAGCGAATCAATTTTAAGAAAAGTGTGTTGTCACATTGCGCCATAGATTAATTGAGAAATTAACGAACTAATTTTTTGAATTATTTTTTTTTAATTTCAAATTATTGTGTAAAATTCCCACATCAACACCTAACAACAACTCTTTTTGCTTGACTTTTGATCACTTCAGAGTGTCAACCCACAACGTAACCACAATGCATTGTGTATGAACACCTAACAACTACTCGAGAATCATTTACAGTTATGTGTAAATCATTTCTTGTTCCCCAGTGGATCTTTTTCACAACTAACAAATGAATGCATTAAATAGCTACAATTGATTGATTGCTAACAACTTTAGTTGAAGTCTGCTTCTATTTTATAAACCAATCAAATATTCGAAGTCAATTTACTTATTATTAGAGAATTTTTTTTTTAACTTTTTAGAAAATTAGAGAATTGAAGAACAAAAATTAGAAAACATGTTTATTTGTATAGTTTCTATTTCAAACACTGAAAAGCAGTTTTCCTATTTTCTAGATTTTCAAAAAATTGAAAAATGCTTTTTTTTGTTTTTTTAACTTCAAATGGAAAAATATACCTACACTATAGCTACGTATATTCATTATCATATCATATCATATATATATATATATATATATATATATATATATAGGGAAGGGTTCAGGTGCGGGGATAGCTTCCTGTGCGGTTGTGCAGTTAGATCTTAGCCGTTGATCAAATTTAGATCAACGGTTCAAATCAATGAAAATTTAAAAAAAAAAAAAATTCGTGTCTGGAAGAAAGAAGCATAAGCTAAAAATGGAGCACCTTAAAGTGATAGAAACACGCACCTTAAGTGTTAGATCTTAAGCAGAAACTCACGTACATTAAATACAAAACCCACACACATTAAGCACAACCTCACGCACATTAAGCACAAAACCCACGCACTTTAAATATTAACTCACAGACTTTAAGTTTCAACAACTACTGACATTAAGCACAAACTCACGCACATTAAGTACAAAACTCACGCACATTAAGTACAAAACTCACGCACATTAAGCACAACTTCACGCACATTAAGCACAAAACTCACGCACTTTAATTATTAACTCACATACTTTAAGTTTTAACAACTACTCACATTAAGCACAACCACACGCACATTAAGCACAAACCTCACGCACCTTACGCACAAACCTCACGCATCTTATATACAAAACTCACGCATATTAATCACTGATCCGCTCACCTTAATTTTGACCAAGATGCAAAAATTACAAAATTGCCACCGCGTTTTTTTTTTTAAAATTTTGGTAATCCTGGACGTTGATTTAAGCGAGATGAATGGCCCAGATTAAACCGCACAACCGCACCTGGGCACCTTAACCAAACCAAAACCTAATTTTATATATATATATATATATATATATATATATATATATATATATATATATAGGCTAAAGTGACATCCCGCACTATGAACCTTTTCCGATTATTAATGCCGCACCATGATCTTTAATAAGTGATATTTAGATCCACAAACCATTATTTTTCTTTCGTCTAGAACTTTTTATAGATTTTCCGGTAATCCTGATGACATGGCACGCTAATAAGCTGACGTGGCCTTATTTCTCTGTCCATTAAGCATTTTTAATTAATTAAAAAAAAACTACTCCAATTACAAAGAAGATTTCGTCGACCAGTCTGTCCTCTCCTGGCGATGCTGCCCCCTGCTGTAACGCGTGGACTGTCCGCCGTGGGAGCTAACACCGCTTGACCGAGAAGCAACCATAGCCTCGGGAGAAGGAAGCAGTCCATGCATCGAATCATTGTCATCGGCGCACCATTGACAGCCAACGATGAAGCGACGGAGCGGTATTCCGATTGATTTATAAATGCAGTCATTACTATTTGACTATATTAATTATTTGAGTTAATTCCAGCAATGGTCCTCCGACTATATTGATTTTTCAAAATTAGTCCTTGACTTTTAATTTGGACACTTTAGGTCCCTTGACTTTCAATTTCTTTCCAATTCAGGTCCTTTCGTCAGAATACGGTTAATTGAATTTTAAATGAAGGGGTAAACTCATCATTTCACCCGCCTATGTATTATTCTTAGTATTTCTCCATTGTATACTCGATATATATGAAGATAATCTTAGTCGAAACCCTAAAATGTTCCTCGTCGTTCCCCATTTGCTGACTACTCGTGTGTGCGTTCCTCTATTATTGAGATGTTTACAAGGTATAACAGTGAAATACGAAGGGAGAAATACGAAGAATAATACATAGGCAAGTGAACGGACGAGTTTACCCCTTCATTTAAAGTCTAATGAACCGTATTCTAACGAAAGGACCTCAATTTGAAAGAAATTGAAAGTCAATGGACCTAAAGTGTCCAAATTAAAAGTCGGGGACTAATTTTGGAAAATCACTATAGTCGGAGGACCATTGCTAAAATTTTTAACTACTTCGAATTTGACTATATTAATTATTTTGACTGCTTCGAATTAGACCAAGAGTATTCCGGATTAGGCTTGGTAACTTATCCAATTATCTTGTCACACACATCGTGACAATTTTAAGCATGTATTGAATCCATGCCCGATGGTACAAAATGACAACAGTGGTTCTATAAGAAAGACTGTAAACAACAGGGCCGCCTTAAGATTCATAGTTTATAGTTACAAATGTCTGCAAGAACAAGATACCATTCCCAGTACAAAGAAGACAGGCCTAAAAGATGGCGAAACAGAACACTGGTATCTACAACACACACTGCATAATCATCCCTACCAAAATCTCTTACCATAGATGAACACGAAAATGCAGATTTCTATAAGACTGGAAATAAAATAATATGCTACGGTCGCTTAATAGCCTACAAGAAATTGAAATTTTATGTTACTTAGAATCGAAATGACCTCGTTTGTTCCACAGCGCACTCAGATCAGGGAAGCACCATTCTATCATATATCCAGCTGAATGGAATGGCGGGCGCTTGTTTGGCCCTCCCTTGAGCTCTCTCTTCCAGTCTTCTGATTCTAGGGGGCAACCTGCACACATATTCTTGAGCTTTTCTACCTTCGGATGATAGTCCGGTCAGATCTTCTACTCTCCATCTTCCCACAAGAAACTCCAATATATCTGCGTAATCTTTAGCAGTGTAGACACCGAGACGCTGAGCCACCGCAGAGAAATTGAAAAGGTTGTCATCACGCCCATCGTACATCAAATGCGCTGGCATTGAAATTTTCTTCTTCATCATATCCGCAAAAGCCAATACAGTTCCATCAGGGTCTATCTCAAAAAGCTTTTCTACTATCTTGGTATATGCAGTCTCATGGCGTTTCTCATCTGAAGCTATTGTGCCACAGATTTGGGCCAGTTTCAGGTCTCCATATTCCTTGGCATGTCTGGCTGTATTACCATGAGAGATAAAAGTTGCTCTTTCTTGAAAGGATGTATAGATAAATCCTATGTAAGGATTGTTCTCTGTCCGAGGATCCTATAATGATTATTTGCACAAAACAAAATCATTAAAAAAAAAAAAGGTTAACACGAGAAATTAGTATATGGAAAAGAAATTGTAATTTATGCCCCTCCATAATATGTCAATTATCAATGTCACCCCTGAATTATTAGTGGTGTAAATGTTGCCCCCCAATTTTCAAAACGGTACATATATTGCCCCTCCCGTACCGTACAGGAGGGGAAAATATATGTACTGTTTTGAAAAATAAAAAATGAGAGGCAACATTTACACTACGGGAGAACACTATATGTACCGTTTTGAAAATTGAGGGGCAACACTTACACCACTAATAATTCAGGGGTGACATTGATAATTGGCATATTAGGGAGGGGCATAAATTACAATTTTCTCGAAAAAGAATGATAATGGAATCTGAGGCAGATAAAATCATGAATATTTAAGTAAACATTTATAAAAGAGTGACAGAGCTACCGATATGTTTTCCATCCACAAAAACCCAATAAAAGATTTTGCAGCAGGAATACATTC